GGAGGAGTAGTAGTAGTAGTCGTCGCAACCAGGATCATGAAATCCACACAACAGCGCCACAACTGCCATCAAAAGCAGCCGACCCACCGGAACCTAAGGAGCTTTCCTAAATCCGACACTTGCTCCAGAGCAACTAACAGCACTACGCTACAAGCCGCCCCCAAAGTCTAAACCCGAAACCCCAGAAGCCTCCAAGCGGATGCCCCTGTTGCCGCCCCCTTGGCATCGGGAAGGCTTGAGCAGATGAGGGTTTCGGGTTTAGACGGTTTAGAGCTTGAAGGCTTAAGGCGTGAAGGTTTAACGTTAGCGCTTTAGAGTTGAACTTGGGGGCTACCCTCAAAACTAAGCCCACTTTCCAGGCACCGTCGACTAAGATGTACGGTAGAATTGCACCAAGCCCTAAATCTTTTCTCCCTGAAGTCCTGTAGTGGTCAAGCCCTGAACCCCCAAACCTAGTACTGAACTCCTATAGACCAAAGCTGGGGTCCAGAAAAGATTGCCCTGACGAGCAACCCTGCAGGCGTACTGTAGTTCCTCACAAGCTGCAAGAATGCACGTAATAATGCACTCCGGACCGGGGCTATACTGTAACGAAGCTTGCGTTGGTTCGAAGGGTTTAGGGTTCGGGGAAGAGCCCCATAGAATAGAGGCGCAGGCCAGGTACTCTTGAGCCCATACTATACCCTAAACCCTAAACCCTAAACCCATACTTCATCTTTTCTCTTAGTCGAAATTTCACCCACATGAGAATGACAACCCCGAGTCCCACAAGGACCAAAAAGGGAACCTGGTAACACAGAGGCCTTTTTTTGGAACGAGGCTTTATAGAGAGTGTTTTAAAGTACAAGACGAACCAGGGACCCTGAGGAACAATATCGGTAGCTGCTCAGCCTTCTGGATTAGCCTACGACTCGGTTCTAGGGTTTCAGCACAGGGGTTTGCAGGGTTCAGACTGTTCAATATGCAAGTAGTCCAGAGCTCGGGCAGCACATGCCAGAGCCCTAAACAGAGATCGGTCAAGGCTTTTCAGGTATAGGGGTTTAGAGGGCCTTAGGGATCCATGCGAAAAGCCCTGACAAGCATCGAACTTTTCCGGGGTGCAGGTGTTGGGCCTTATTCTGAGGGCAGTGCCGCATCATTCTTCCCCGTATACTGTAAGCCCCCTCCTGGATCAAGTGTCTTACAGGGAACCATATGAAGCTCCAAGGTAGGACATGCAGGACAAGTCCTGCATGGTCGCATGCCCCAAGTAGGCCTAAGGCCCCAAAAGCAGTAGAGTTCACGAGGCTCGAAGGCCACACACCGACTGGGAGGCTTGAAGCCCTGTTGGCATCCATGCCAAGAGAAAGCCTTCTGGTCTTCCTGGCACCAGGCCGCGTCACCTCGACCACAGCTGTCGTCATCGATAAGGCCACAAACCTATCATTGTCGGCCTTGCAGGCTGGAATTTTTTTTGGACTGCTCGGATCGTAGATGCGAACAAAGCGTCGGAGAACGGAGGGCCGCACCTTCTCGCTGTCTTGCTTGGTAATCTAGACGTCGGAATATAATAGTAGTCAGTAGACGTTGTGACCGTATTTAAACTCCAAGCCCGTGAAGCCCACCCGATCTATGAAGCCCTCCAACCACCACCGAGCCTGCAAGTAAAACCATCTGGAACCTAAAACCACAAACAGGCTATAACATCCTTGCAGAACCCTAGGAAACAGGCTTGTAAAAACACATCAACCCAAGCAAGAAAGCAAACCTAAACCCGAAACCCTGAACCCTAAACGGCAAACCCTAGATCCTAACAGAAAGGACTGTAGCGTGGGATGGAAACCAGTGGTCTGCAGGCTGCAGGTGTTTGAGGCGCTCCGTTACTTATTTTTTGTTTAGGGTTTAGGGTTTGGTCGGGGGCTCTTCCTTTCTGCCAACAGTCCTTTCTGCATGCTGTTGGCAATCCTAAACTCTTAAACCGTGAGCCCTAAACCCGAAACTATAAACCATAACTCAAGAACCCTGAACTATAAACCCTAAATCTAAACTATAAACCATAACTCAAGAACCCTAAACTATAAACCCCTAATCCTAAACTATAAACCATAACTCAACAACCCTGAGAACCCTAAACCCTACAAGCCGCAATGGTTTCATCCTCAGGGAACTGCCTCTCTGACGGCTGGCTGGGCCTTTCCCGGAACGAAGCTCCGAGTGTCTAAAATCCTAAGCATATTGGGAAGGAACATTTTTTCACCAGTATGTTTAGGGCGTAGGGTTTAGGGTTTTCAACAATATGTTTAGGGCTTAGGGTTTAGGGCTTTCACCAATATGCTTCGGGGAAACATTTCCCCAACATGTTTGGTGCCTTGAAAAACAAATGTTTTGGGGAACGTTTCATGCTACAAGAATAGGGTTTTGGGCTATACTATAATATAAGACTCGGGCGTTTGGGTTTGATGGGAAGTGGGTTAGGTGGGGCCGAGTGCACGGGTGAATTGCTTTCTGGGGCATCGGCGCTGAGTGCCCTAGCCCAAATGAGCCGAATCTCTTAGTCTTAGTTTTAGGGTTTAGGGTTTAGGGTTTAGGGTCTTTAGGGTTTAGGGGTTTAGGGTTTAGGGATATAGGGAGATATCTCTCTCCGCATTAAAGGTCCGAGGTTCCTTACCCAGCCCCTAAGCGGTGTTATTTGGAGGTAAGCCCCTTAAAGCCCTGTAATTCCCCACCTAGACCCTAAACCCTAAACCCTACCCCGCAAGGCAGGCTTCTCAAGACAAAACCTTGAGCCCCAAACTCGAAGCCCTGAGCCTAGCATCCCCAAACCACGAAAAGTCGGAATCCTAAATGTCAGATACCACAATAAAGGGTTATTATTATTTGGTGTCCCTATTATTGTGATTGTTATTGTTCTTCTTCTTATTCTTATTCTTACTCAAAAGGACAAACAAATCTGCGAGGCCCCCCCCTTCCAGAGGTGCGAACCTCGAACGCAAAACCCATCCGTTCAGGCTTCGGGAGTAGTTACGTTCGGATCCAAGTTCTTGTTGTCGGGAGTAGGGGTGCTGGGACATTGACTTTCCGGTTCAAGCCCTAGGGGGTGGGGGCTGAGGTATCCCCCTGGCCTGCGCATGGATCGGATTGTGTCATTCTCCACGACTGGATCCTCGGGGAGCCCCCCAAGCGAAAATTTGGGGCTCCGTTTAGGCTTTAGGGTTTAGGGTTTAGGATTTTAGGGTTCAGGGGCTCAGGATTCAGGGTTTGGGGTTTAAGGTTGCGGCCCACGCTGACATGGACTGGCAAACCCCACCAACCCAACGTCTCAAGCCTTAGACCTCGAGCCTTACAGTTTCAGGGTTAAGGGATAGGGTTTAGGGTTTAGAGATAGGGTTTAGGCTAGGGATTAGGGTTTAGGGTTTAGGGACCCCAAACCTAAACCCTGAGCCCTAAGACCTAAACCCAGCTCTGGCGAAGGTGGGCCCCCGAACATGCCCAGCGCGGTCGCCGGCTTGGACGAATCTCCTGGCCAGTTGTTTACATGTGACGGACTTTCTCAGTCCACCCCTCAAGGTTTAGGATTAGGGTCTAGGGCTTAAGGGTTAGAGTTTAGGGCGCTGCCTTTGGGGTCGGTTAAAGGATCAGGGTGGTTTGGGATAAACCTGTTGCGAGCTTTAGTCTTTAGTCGAAGGTTGATCATTTAGTATTCTGGCAGGCTTCAACCCTCAACTCCAACAGAAGTTTAGACTCTAAACCTACAGCCTGACTGTGGATTGCAACCACAAGATCGGAACCTGGAAACCCAAACAAACGGAACGCTTATGAATCCTAAACCGGAAGCCAGGAATTCTTATTGCATGATAGCACAGCCAGCTCGACCACTTCAAGACGCCCAGGTTTTCCGGGCCATCCGGCGTGCAGTCCTGCCCCAGCTTGGTGGCTTCTTTCAAACACATCATCGGTCTCGGCTGTTGGCTCTGTGGCTTGGGCTTGAGGGCAAAGTGTTCAGGTTTTGGGGCTTTGAGGTTAAGAGTTTAGACTTGTATGCTCTTGTGTGTGTGTATCTATCTATCTATCTATCTATCTATATATCTATCACATA